GCAGCTGAACAGGGACAATTTAAAAAAAAAAACAAGAATCCATGCTCAAAATAACTAGGTTGCATTAGGGAAAATCACACAACTACACTAAACACAAAAGGTCAATTTTAGTTTCAAAAGAAAGAGCAAAAACAGGATTTTAAGAGCTAAAATGAAACATTAATATAAAACACCACACCTTATCAAAGCTATAATCACATCTACCAAATCAGATTTGCAATAATCGAACAAGAAAATAAATTATAGGCAACACAATCAGTTGTTAACATGTAGAACAACAAGATTACTTAAAACTAGCACTAATCACACTCTTATAGAAATAAAATCAATAAATGAACCAGCATAAATGACCACTCAAATATCATAGGAACTATAATCAAATCTGTAGAGAAAAGAAGAGGGATACATAAGAAAAACAAGTTGAACAACCCATATTTGTTAAAACAAAATGAAAATAGAGAATATGACGAGTATTCAATGTACTCCACACAGAAAAGCATCGCATTAAACTAAATCCGAACATGATAACATGAAAATATCTAGCAATTAGAGGGAGGACTATCATCATTCAGCCCATATTCAAGCACAATCTAAGTGACATAAACATTCAAGGAACATAAAAGTCGAGAAGAAAGAAATGAAACGAAAACGAGATAGGGACAAAGTTGTTACCTTTTCTTGGGCAACAGACTGGGACCAAAACGAACGGAGGAGTAGCGACTTCACCACGAGTGAAAATCAAACAGAGCTACTATGAAGAATCTCCGATGCAAGTTTCGAAACAAACTTCTAGAACCTGGAATTTCCAGATTTAATAACTATAGCTATCCCTTTCTTCTTGCAAATATATTCTTTCATGTAGTGTTTAGCTACTGGGAAACCGAATAATCTAAAGGAAGTCGAAAACCAAAACTCGAACCTATTTCGTATTTGATTTTTATAGCTATTTCTTACTAAGTATTTCTCTTTGTATCAACTGAATTCCCAATTATTATTTTTTAACCTTTTCCAACTCCCTTACTGAAGGTAAATGAGGGATTTAAAAAGAGGGGAAATAGGGTTCGATTTAGAGGGGAAAACGGGCAGATTTGGATAAGATTCTTTTGAATTTGAAATTTGATAAATCTCTTGACCGATAAGGTTGGAGCTGGAATTAGTACAAATCTCCAACGGAAAACAATTTTGGGCGCTTGATTTTCGAGCAAGGACGAGTGATATGCGCAGATGAAGACACGTAATGATTCTCCAAAGATTTTGGTACGAACGATAAGGAGAGAGGAGGAGGAGGATGCGCGCGAGTTGGGCTTGATTTTCTGCTGGACTCGCAATTCTGGACTGCTTATGGGTCGCGATTGCTGCTGATTTGGGTTGCTGCGTCTTTGGGTTTGTTCGCTAGGAAGAAGAACAAGTTATACAGGTGGGGTAGCGTACTGTTTGATGTTGGTGTATTGTATTTTCTTTTGTTTTTGTGGGCTGGGTCTTCACTGTTAATATTGTGAAAATTGGATTGGTTGAATTGGGCTTGGACTTAAAATAATGGCCAATTGTATTAAAATGTAGCCAAGTTTGAATTCAAGTAACAAATAGCGGCTAAAACTCGAATAAGATGAATTAATATAATTAACTAACGAGCTTCTTAATCTTAACGAAATAATATAATTAACTTAATTATAAACCAAATAATTTAAAAATATAAACTATTATATAACTAAACTAATTAACCGAATATTTAATTAAAGCATATAAAAAAATTGAGATAATTTTCGTATATTTATAAAATATGCTAATTATATTATATATATATTCCAAAACGTGAAAAAATTACATAAAACTAACTTGAAAATAATTTGAATTTTATAAAGTCAATTATTTCAAATAGTTTGAAATTTTAAGAAGCTCGATGATTAATTTATATTGTGGAGGTCCAAAATTGGGTGTCAACAGATGGGTAAATTGGTATATATTGTAACGATCGAGTTCAGTCGTTATAGAAAAGCCAATTGAGAAAAAATTTAGGTCGGAAAACTTTTTCGTAGTAACTTGGAATTTTCCAACCTAGTCCATATTTGGACGAAATTGGAGTCTTTGAAGTGTATGGAAATCTGGTAACAATCGGGTGACTTATTTATGATTTTGATTATATTAGTAGTTAGATAAGTCGTTAAGAAATCCGTATGACTTTACGGAATTGAATTCGGGTGAGTAGAACCCCCGATATTGATCTTAGCGTGAACGGTATTTTCTGAGCGTCGTTGGTTAAATTTGTGTTGTAAATAGGGGTCATGGAATTATTAAAATAGCTCACTGTTTTGTGCAAGCCGTTTTGGTGGTGGTTTTGGTCGCTTTGGCGGTTCCACTGTAGCGGGTTTAGGGCCGTTGTGGCGGGCCTGACGCGACTTAAAATCGTAAATAAACTCCAAAACGACTTTATTCTGCACTTTTTGACTTTTAGAGCTAGGAGAGGACCCCATACGAGTTCTTGACCGTTTTTCACCATTCTTGAGGCTAAATGTAAGATTTTAACTCTCCGAATCCGTTTTTCGATCCGTAGAACGTAATCTAATGGGTAAATATCGATGGGGGAGGATTTTGATCTAGAATATATGGTGAAAACAACCCTAATTGAGATAATTGGGATCATGTGTATGATCTAGGGTTATTAGAATTGTTAGTAATCCGGGTAATTAGTGATTGTTTATTGATTCCCGTATTATATTGATTGTTTGTAGACCAAGAACAAGCGAAATGAATTCGGGAAGGGAAGGATCAAGTTTTTAGGGTTTCAAGCTTGTTTCGAGGTAGGTGATGGTTGTGATTCTATGATTGTGTGATGTATGTGTGTTCTTGCTTCATTATGATACTTGCATGTATGGGAATGTTGCATTATTGATCACGCTTGTTGTAAATGAGATAGATGAATGATGAATGCCATGAATCATGACTAAATTGTATGAACTTGAGAAGATACTTGTGATTGTGATTGTGGTGTGTTGAATGGATTGGTTGCCACGTTTCAGCATAACTAACCACGTTCTGTCATAATTATGGGATCGATTGCCACGTTCCGGCATAAATATTGGATCGGATACCGCGTTCCGGTATGCTAATGGTTTGAGTTTGGGTTCCATGAGAGGACCATGACTTGTCATAATTGTGTATCTTGAGAAATGTGAAGTTGGTCATTGTTCATAAATGTTGATAATATTGTATATGTTCGATATATGCTTGTGATTATAATGTTGTATTGACTAGCTTATGTTACACTTAGTGGGATAGCCACGTGATCGTACCAGTACACTGTGGTTGTGTACTGATACTGCACTTGCTCTTTCTTTGTTGAGTACACGACATCTTCAAGCGGCTATTGACAGACCTCACTTAGAAGATCA